AAAATTGATGCAAATCTCAATTGCATTATTTAATGCTATTCGACATCGGCGGATATGGATGTGAAAATTTTAGAACTAATACCGTATTTTTTGAAATAGAGCCCCATGGGGCTCTATTTTTCAACTATTCTTAAAAGTGTGGCTCTAATTCAGCGTGGGGCTCTATTACAATAGTAAGTGTGGTGATCTCATTAGGTGGATCCCAAAGGAATACAATTAACAACTGTTGACAGCGCAGCCTTAGCTAAAGACTATTCCTCAGTTTAATACTTTCTATCAATAACTAGGGCTGCCGTTTTCAACTCGGGCCGCGTTCGGGATTTTTTCGGGCCTTATTTTTATCTGGCCGGCCCGAAAGAGTCTTTTTCAGGCCAAAATTCGATGCTTGACTCGATCTTTCTGACCGAACCGGCAACCCATTTAATAGCCTAATAATTTTAAAAATAATTATTTACATCAAAACAGTCTAGGAGAAGCATAATAAAGTTAGACATAAAGCATAAATTCTCATCTGAGTAGATCTCTTCACCTTTATAAACTATTACATTCATTGCCCAATCCAACCTTTCTTTAAAAATATTTCTCAAATACTCATTTTTTCGCGATTCAATTATTGAATAATTATCTATTAACATTTTTAACAAAAATTTTATATTTAATGTTTTAATAGCTTCTATAGAAATGGACGAAGCTATTGGATTTTGAAGATATTCTTCATAATATTTAATAGCTACATCCTTTTGCACAAAATCTGTAAAAGAAAATAATTTAAATATTGCTCAACATTAATTGCATTTTTCTATATATTTTTGTTGCAATGGATTCATAATAGAGCTCTATTTAGAGTCTAATTTTGTATTAGAAATTTTAAAAATAAAATAATTTTATAAAAAAATGGGGAATTTATGATTGAATAAAAATTGAAGAACCTCAGGGTTTTACGGGATTTAGGATCATTTATACACGGAAACTGTATCCAATTTCGTCATTTGGCTTCGCCATTTTATCCGACTTAGTCGTTTGCAAATACGGGTTTTACGAAATTTAGGAATCTTCTTAGTTTACTTAAACAACTTTTTTGTATGGTCAAAAATTATAGTGATAAATTGTGGTGGATAAATTGGGGGGGGGGGGGGGGAAGTAACGGAGGAAGTAAGGGATAAAGATTGATAGATTACAATAATCTAACAAAATAATAGTAGTTAACCCCACCCCCGTGTCGCCTGTCAAAAATGATATTAGTTAATCAATCAAAATTAAAAGGTGTGAAGTCATTTCTCTCCCGGCCCCTTCCCCAACAACCAAAAGGATTTGAGGCTTTTCCTTCCCCAACCCACCCCTCTCCAATAAAAGGTACCCACCCCTCCAACCAAAAGCTGTTGAAGCTTTTTCTATCCCTCTTCTTCCCCCATCCACCCCACAAACCTAAACCTATTGAAGCTTTTCCTCTCTTCTTTCCCCCATCCACCAACTAACCAAAAGGTTTTGAAGCTTTCCCAATATTATTCAAATTTCTCTCCCGCAGCGTCTCCTCTTAATCCATTCTTTTTATTCACAATTAAATCCTTTTGTTTTGAATAATAAAAAATTTTTCCCAATGATATATGCATTTCTTTGTTTTGCATATTTCCCTTTTTTAGTCGCATAGCCTTCAAGTAAAAAATATATTTTCCTCGCACTTTAGAATTTTATTATTGTATATGAAAAGGCAAATGCCTAATATATTTTGTCTATATTTTTTAATGATTTAATTTATTTTTAATAATTTATTTTATCTTTTGATAATTTATTTTAAATATATCCTAGTCATAGGGGAAAAATCGGGTCGGGTTTTAATTTATAATCTTATAGTTGTTTTTTAATGATTTCTCCCTATTTTCTACATTTGTGATATTTTTATTACTATTTTCTTCCCTTAGGTTTTCATTCCTATTTGAGAAATTGTTTTTTAAATTATTATGATTTATTTTTAGATTTTTAACAGAGATGAGTCGGGTTGAGAAAAAAGTCGGGGTTAAAAAATACTTGTAAATTATTAGGTTCGAGTTTCGATTGAGAAAATCGGGGTTTGAGACTATAGGAGTTACAATTAACTTCACGATTCCTGATTAGTAAAGTGCGAAATAGAGGTTTTAATAAAACCGAGACGAAGGTTGTGAGGTTTGATAATGTTTTCACTAAATCATTAACAAATTCAGTAGTTAGTCACCTGCAGTGTTAGTCGTACAGTATGATAATTTGGGTTACTCGATGAGTATTTGTGGGTGCCTTCTTCACCATACCGCTCGAAATTTTGGAAGTCAATAAGCCAGATTTCTTCCTATATTCACTTTTGTGTACAACTCTTGTCTAACTCTCTTATTCTATCCTTATTATACTACTTACATCTCACCATAATTTACACCTCATCACATTCCTTATGTTTTACATCTGGGGAGATATCTATAGTATACCATTTTAGGGCGTTGCACATTTGACCGAAATGTATTTTGGTTAAATGTATTTGTACATTTGTCTATTTGATTCCTCGTTTATCTGGGGTATAAAAAGGGGCGATTTATTGAAAAATCTTTCATTATTTCAAAATGTCCGATATAAAATTCCCAAAAATATTACCTGAAGTTGAGTTTAACATCTCAGCTACAGGGATTACAATTTCCAGTGTCCGATATACAACTCCACGGTTTCTTCCTTACGACCAAGGAGGGAAATGTCGTAAGTGCAAGAGCACAGAAGTCGAATTAGATTTTATTATAGTAAAGGAAGGGGTTGTAGTCTATTGCACCCGCTTTGAAGGAAGTCGATTTGTTCCCTTCGATTCTTTATACGATTTACCAGGACATTGTTTCTTTAAAGTAAAGAACAAAGGCCGAGTCTTTAATGTACCATACAATGATACTACTCAGATTCCTTGCCCCAAAACTGAACAATCTGAACCACAAAGTCCGCCCAAAATACCCGAAGAAGTGACACAGACACCCCAACCCCAGGATAACCTTCCAACAATGGATGAATTGGATGATTTCTTCCAGAGTCTAGATGCATCGGTTACAGGCATTCCAACTGATTAAAATGATATTTAAGTGAAAATTTTGTATATCCATAAATATTCATTATGAATTCATTAACTTTCTCGGATAAAGATTTAAAATTTAAATTACCTTTTGGGATGATTATATCTGGTCCTAGTTCAAGTGGAAAGAGTACACTGTTATTGAAACTCATAGCAGAATCCGAAGAGTTAATCCACCCTAAACCAAAGTCTATACTTTACAGCTTTGGGGAAATGAACAATATTGTACCGCTTTTACAAAAATCTGGAGTTGATGTGTTTTCTGGAGTTCCACCTGAAGACCTAATTAAAAAATACCCAAAACCTCTTTTACTAATTCTAGATGATTTGAATCTTTCTATTGATGAAAAATATCTATCTGAATTGTTTACCAAAAAATCTCACCATCAAAATTTTTCTATAATTTTTGTTACACAAAATTTATTCGATAAGAAAATCAAAGTAGCACGACAAAATTCTCAGTATCTCATGTTAATGAGGGCACCCAATTCGATGCTTTCCATCAGAAACATAGGGGTGCACCTATTTCCAAAACAGTTGGACTATTTTCTAGACTCATATCGGCAGGCAACCAAGCAACCATATGGTTATTTGCTTGTTGATATGCATGCTTCCTCAGATCCTACCCTACGTCTTAGGACCAACATATTTAAGGAAGATGATGAAAAGATAATTTTCTTTCCAAAAAATGGTTAATCAATTAATTTCTGAAAATATAAAATTTTTACATTTATTGTCAAAGACCAAATCTAGAAGAAAAAGGAAAAGACTCTTAAAATTGTCAAATAGTGAACAACTTTTAGCATTAGCTGAGATTTGCTTGAACATAGTAAAAGAGAGATTCAAACTTACAACTCGTCAAAAGAAAAGATTATTACCACATGCAGAATTTGTACGAAGTTTGAGTAGGGTTAGGAGCGAACGAGGAGCCAGACATGTTATCAATCAAAAAGGTGGTGGAGTGGGTGTCTTTGCAGCCCTCTTAACACCTGTTCTCATTGAAATGGCTAGGATGCTGACTATAAAAACCCCAGGCACATCTTAATTTAAAATTAAAATTATGGCAAATAAATTTATTCTAGTTCCTGAAGAAATTTACAAAGGTTTGACAACCCAAGATTCAGGGGAACCAAACTTGGATTTTATTCGTCAAGGTTTAGAGAAAACAAAATTGAAAAGGGAGACACCTAGTGCAAAAAATGTACACTATAATCAGGAGCTTAGGCGATATTTGCAATTAAGAAATGAGCAGCAAAATAGACCAGTTAAGGTGGAGATTGTTGCTAGTCCAAAGGGTGCAATTATGAATACTACAGCCTCCCTTCCGGCTTCAAATATTGGGGAAGACGACGATAATATATGGATGAGTGATGATATGTCCTTTAGTTCGTATCCAAAAGAGACACCATCTTATAACATTATACCACCTATCCTACCAGACATTAAACCTACAATTACATTAAAACCGAAAAAATCTACTACCTATTACAAACCCCCGAAAAGAAAAAGAGGTGAAGAGGAGATAGATAGCAATAAAAGAAGACCTTTGATAGATTACGAAATCAAACCAATTAAAAAAGAAATCGGTGATGATGGTTTTGATGACTATAGAAAGAAGGAAAAGAAAAGACAATATTTAGAAAGGAAGAAGGCTATCAGAGAACAAAAAATTCCTTATACCCCACAATACCATAAGGAGGTTACATATGTTCCACCACCACCACCATCACAAGGAACAAAAAGGTTACAGTATATTAATATTGAGGAAGGTAAAAGGAAAAGGATTGATGAGTTAGAGCAGAAAAAGGAAAGCCTACGAAAAATAAGAGAGGATCAAAGGCTAGAAAATATTAGGAAAGGGAAAAAGGAAAGGGAATTAAAAAGAAGTGGTATAAGAAAACTAAAAATCCCCCTAGACCAATCAGCAATGTTAAAGGCTAGACAAGAGGATGACATTCGAAGGCGTCAAAAGTTAAAACGAAAGTGGCAAGGTCCAGACGAAAGCCCCTTCTTAACGCTAAAGAGAGTCAAACCCGTTACGAAAAAACAATCCGCAAGAGCAAGCAAAGAATGGATGCAGAGGCTTATAAAAGCCAAGCGCAAAGCAAGTAACAAATCATTTAAACCTTCATTGTGGTAAAAATGGGTGATTATACTAAACTTTTGCAAGATTTGTACAATAATCCAGAGTCTCCAGCTGCCTTTTCAGGTGTGGATAGACTATGGAAGGAGGCTAGAAAAGTACTAAAACATATACCTAAAAACGTTGTGCAAGATTATTTAGAAGGGCACAGGACTTATACTTTAATGCGACCGAGACGTATTCATTTTAACAGAGCCTTGACAATATCCGCAGGCTTTATGACAGACGTCCAAGTAGATTTGGCTGATTTTCAAGCAATCGCAAGACATAACAAAGGGAATAAATATTTACTTTTGGGAATTGATGTTTTATCTAAGAGAATATTTGGAGTGCCTGTAAAATCAAAAACGTCAGAGAATATGGTAACCGCGTTCACTGAGTTAATAAAACAAATGCCTATGAAACCACACCGTATATTTTCGGATAAGGGAAAGGAATTTAAAAATTCTCAAATGAACGAATTTTTTCAAAATGAGGAAATTCACAAGATGGAACCAACTCACTCCACAGTAAAAGCTGCACTAGCTGAAAGGGCTATTAGACATATCAAACAACGTATTTACCGTTACTTTGCCCAAAATAAGACCTTAGACTGGATTCAAGTCCTCCCTGAAATTTTAGAAGGAATAAATAAAGCAAAAAGTAGGGTACACGGAATGAGACCTATTGATGTTAATTTTGACAATGCTCAGGAAGTATGGAAGAAGGTATATGGAGATGTTTTTTCAGATAAAAAGACAACCCCAAAACTTAAAAAAGGAGATTATGTTCGAATGAGTCTTGGAAAAGGAGTGTTCGAAAAGGGTTATATTCCAAACTGGGGTGATGAAATACTCCAAGTAGAAAAGGTTAAAGGACATGTTCATCCAATTCGTTACAAAGTCCAAGATGATAAAGGTGAAAAGTTCAAAGGATCATTTTACGGAGAGGAATTAGCTCGCGTTCGTAAGGATGCTGATACTGAATATAGAATAGAAAAGGTTGTAAGAAAGAAAAAGAGACCGGATGGGACTTACGATCTTTTAGTAAAATTTATAGGTTATCCCGAAAGAGAATGGATCCATGAGACCCAACTAGTATAAAAGCTCATTTAATTGTTCATTATTTCATTTTTGATAAAAATGTCAAATACTTTCTTTGTTTTTCTCCCTAGTAATGTTTCCGATTATCCAGATAATCGACCAAATAAATTTCGCGTCCATCTGCCTAGACCTCTATATTTTTCTGGAGACTGGGTATGTGGTTTACATAGTATAAGTTATCCATATTCATGGCCCTCAACTATTGGTACCCTTGACGAGCAATGGATTGACATCCATTTTACCAAAACTGATGGAAGGGCTAGTATTATTCGTGTACCCGTTCCCAAAGGTTCACACACCACTGTAGAAGATTTACATCGATTTTTATTATCTACTTTAGAACACCAAGTAGGAGCTATAGAAGGATCATCCTTGGAAAAACCCGAGACACTAGTCAAACCTCCAAGTGTCCGCAGACCAAAACGTAGTGTATCCCCTGAAGGAGAACTTAGGATGCCATCTCCTTCATCATCGGCCGAAGAGGAAGAAGGAGAACTTAGAGAACAATCCCCTTCATCCTCTGCAGAAAGGGAAATAGAATCCCGTAAGTCATCTCCTAAACTTACCAAAATAATCCCGACCCCTCAACCTCCAATACCTACACCACAGCCTCCAAAGCCTTCACCTTCAAAACCTATTCCAGAAACTCCAAAACCTACATCACATCCTCCAAAACCTATTCCAGAAACTCCAAAACCTACACCACAACCTCCAAAACCTTCACCTGAACTTCCCAAACCCTCAACTGAATTTCCGAAACCCGCACCTCAACCACCAAAACCCTCTCCTCAACTACCAAAACCCTCTACTCAACCACCAGAACCAACTCCTCAAACACTAAAACCCACTCCACAACCTCCAAAGCCTACAACACCTCAACCTCCGAAACCCTCATTAGAACCTTCAAAACCTATTCTAGAAACTCCAAAACCTACACCACAACCTCCAAAACCCTCAACTGAGCCTCCGAAACCCGCACCCCAACCACCCAGACCTTCTCCTCAACCACCAGAACCAACTCCTCAAACACCAAAACCCGTTCCACAACCTCCGAAACCCGCACCTCAACCACCAAAACCCGTTCCGCAACCTCCGAAGCCACCTCAACCACCAAAACCCTCTCCTCAACCACCAAATCCCACTCCTCAACCTCCAAAACCCGCTCCTCAACCTCCAAAGCCTACAACACCTCAATCACCAAAACCCGCTCCTCAACCACCAAAACCCTCTCCTCAACCACCAAAACCCACACCTCAATCTCCGAAACCTTCTCCTCAACCACCAAAACCTTCTGCTGAAACACCAAAACCCACTCCGCAAACACCAAAACCCACTCCACAACCAAAGACAATACAACCTTCTTTACCCACTTCTCTTTCACGAACACAAGATAACGAGGAAGAATCAAGAACTCCATCTCCCTCGTCTTCAGCTGAAAGACAATCCTTACCCAGTTCACCTACACTTCCACAACTCCCTAAACCTGAAGCTACATTTAATGACCCTCTATGGACTGAAGAATATGAACGAGTACTTACCCATGTACTTGCAAATCTTGGACAGAAAATAACCCCACAAGCAAGGATAAATTATCTACCAAATATGCCCATCCTTGTAAAGAAATATGGTAAAGTAAACAAGGTTGACTCAACAACACAAAAGCAAATTATAGATTCACTAGAATTATTTTATCATAGTGACTTTGAACGATTCAAAGTCACATTCACACACCCAAGCATAAAATATGTTTCCTTTTCCAATCAATTAGGCTATGTATTAGGGTTTCAAAATCCAAATATGGTACTAAACAATGAGATTGCCAAGTACGGTTGTGATTTACGAGGAGGTTTCTCAAGTTTCGCTGTTTATTCCAAAGGACTTACTGAAAGTATGATAATAGGGAATTCACTTAGTTCACTCCTACGAGTTGTTTCTGTAGCTGGAGCCACACCAGGACAATATTATGAGAAAATATATGATTCACCAATTTACGCTCGAGTTTTACCAAAAGAAGTTAATGAGATTGAGATTGAACTGAGAACAATGGATAATGGTCGACCTGTACCATTTGAATTCGGTACAGTGCTCCTGGTCCTAATATTTAAGAAGGTGATAAATTTCTGATTTTCATTCACAAATTAAAAATGGTTCACATTTTATTTGATACAAGTACTGTGAGTTATGACGATTTTATTCTTCCAATGAAAGGAGGAGGAATTACTGATGACTATTTTAAAGGTGCAGCTCCCTTTCAGAGAGGTTATGGTCAAAGAGGAGCAGGCATTGGGGATATTATGAGAGGACTTTGGAAATTTTTCCTACCAATTATGCGTCGAGTAGGAACAACTGTTTCCGAAGAGGCACTAAACACAGGTCAACGTGCTTTAGGAAGGGTCATTCAAGGAGAACCTATAAAAGAAGCCCTAGTCAGTGAAGGGAAGAAGGGGATAGATACCGTGCTTGAGAAAGGAGGCTTACCTAAACAATTTGGATCTGGAAGGGGTATAAAAAGGAAACCAATCCCCAGTCATCAAACAGTTATTAAAAGAAAACGATTAAAATCTGACGCTTTTGGTTTTTATTAAACATGAGTTTTCATAAAATTGATCGCGATAGTATAAATTCTATTACAAATGCTCTTGATTTTTTCCAAGTCCCACCAACAAATGTAAGCATTTCTTCATCCAAAGTTTTTGAAATTTTACCAAGTAATCCTGTTACTGATACACCCATTCATTTCAAGATTCATAGTAGCCAAAATTACATAGACCTATCTAAAGTTTACCTGTTTACTGAATTTCGTATAAAAAAGGAAAGTGAAGATGGAAAATTGGTCAAACTGGCTGCTACAGATAATGTAGCACCTATACAACTAATAGGTCAGACATTTATAAATAATATGAGAATTACTGTAAATGGAAGGGAAATTTTTAATTCAAACTCACTCTACGCCTACAAGACTTACTTTTCTCACGAATTATCTTATTCGCAAGGGGCAAAAAGTTCTCATTTGAACGCTGCAGGATATTTCTATGACTCGGACTTAAAACTTGAGGATGGCTCAGCGTACAATACAAGAAAAAATTTATTTTCTTCAAGTAAAACTGCACAATTCATTTCGAAACTTGATGCAGATATATTTAACCAACCTCTCTATCTAATAAATCATTGCGAAATTGATGTTGAAATACTTCCAAATGACATGAAATTTGTATTGATTGCTCCTCCGGTACTTGGAGTTGAACAACCAATAACTTACAATTTTGAAATTGTAAGTTGTAAATTGTACGTCAAAAAGGTTGATCTTATGGACGGGCTCTCTCTTGATATTGCTAAAAAACTTGAAACTAAGCCTGCAAGATATTCAATAAGAAAGACTATGATGAAACCACTTTTCATAAGTCAGGGTAGATATGAATTTAACGCAAACTTGTTCATGGACCAAATTCCCAGAAGAATTACCCTAGGTCTAGTAGCAAACTCGGATTATGTAGGTACAATAGCCAGGAGTCCCTTTAATTTCCAACATTTTAATGTTAGAGAAATTAGTATTATTGCCAACGGAAGACCATACCCCCAGGCCCCCTATGACTTTGACTATAAAAATGGGAGATATGTAAGGGCATTTCATGATATGAATGAGGCTACTGGTCTGACAAACTCCTCTGAAAATAATGGAATCACTTACCAACAGTATGGAAAGACTCACTGTATTTACGTTTTCAATTTGACAAACAGTGGGGATGATAATAGTGGGACTTTTGACCTAATAAAAAATGGGACTACAGCCATAAACATCAAATTCAGTCAGCCAGTTCCAGAGGGTGGAGTCATGCTAGTTGTTATGGGCGAGGCGGACTCCCTTATAATGCTAGATAAAAACCGGACAATAGCAAGCGACACTACCATTTGAATAAATGAAAGGAATTTTAGTAACTTTATTTTTACTTCGGATATTTACTCCGTGTGTTGGACTAACTAAAGAAGCTATGGAAGAATTACAAGAGATTCCTGAGTATGCGGAGTATCTAAATAAAATGGGATATCCTAAGAAAAATGTCACACTGCCAAGAGTATCAGCCCCTTCACCAAACTTTGCCACATTTCCTTTTGAAAACCTTCCCTCGCTCTGTAATGAAACCCCCAGGGATATTTATGGGCATGTCTTTTGCTGGGGTCTGATTTGCCTATATATTATGTTAATAGCAAGTTTAATCATTTACCAACTTCGGTCAATTTTTTGGTTAAAAACTTATAAAAATAATGTACAACACCCAGATAACAGCAATATTGAGGTCAAACCCACAAACCAGCCACCTATTCCAAGGATGCTTCCCGTGTAACAATTTACCCCAACCTTTAGTAGGGAAAGTTTTAGTTGTAAACTTGGACCCCCAAGGATATCAAGGTTCCCACTGGATTTCAATTTATGTACAAACAAGTGGACAAGTAGTCTACTTTGATAGTTTAAATTTACCCACAAGCATATGCATTATTAATTCATTTTTAAAAGGTTTTTCTGTTGTTGTTAGGAATTTGAAAGGATACCAGTCTTTTACTTCTGATTGTTGTGCTCACCATTGTATTTCTTTTATTTATTTTCTTTCGAAAGGCTATACTTTCACCCAATATCTTAAAATGTTAAACAAGGTTAATGACCCTGATATATTTGTGCAAAATATTGTAAATAAAATGATTAATTAGTTTGTGGCGAGTATAAATACCCGTCGAATTCATTCATATAAACATTTATAATGTCTGAGGAAAATTCTCGCAAACCTGCTTATTTTGTCTTTGACAAAAATTTATGGAAACTTACCAAACCAAAATATGTACTTCAGTTTTATTTTTGCAAAGAATGTAGAGAAAAGCTATTTCATTCGGAAGATAAATTAGTGAGATATGAGAATGGGGTCACTGTAAAGTTTGATTTATGTGAGGATTGTGTTACAAAGAATTGTCGAGTGACCGACATGTGTGTATAAAAGGACAGAATTTTTACCAAAATATTCATTCTTCCAAAATGGTTCTTGTTGTTGATGAAATTGCTCGCTTTCTAGACTGCTCAGTCCGTAGCCTAGCCGGACATTTAGATAATCCTCAAACAAGAGTTTGTGTACTAACAAAATTTTTGGATCGTAAAGTCCGCACAACTTACTTAAACAAGGACTTTGAAAGAAAGACCTTCTTATTTGGAGGACTTACACGAAAAGGCGCAAATAGAATTCGCGCCTATGGACGCCTAAGACGTCCCTATAATATTAGTATAGCACAACATTTCTACACTAGACATCGTATACAACTTAAGAACCCGTACCTAAATTGCGTAATCGAGCATCGACCTTGGGCTAAGGATCGTTTTTACCCTATTGAACTACTAGAATTTGTTGATGATGAGATAGAGAAACTTCCAAGTTTGTCTTCGGAATTTTCAGAGAAGGCAAAATTTTCTCCTCCAGATAGTCCTGAAATTTTTATGGACAAGGAATTTGAAGATGAGATGGAAATTTATAGGGGAGACCTTAGTCAAGATGAATGGTAAATACACGCGCACCCTAGAAACATGCGCGCACATAAAACACACGCACATCCATATACACGCGTGCATGCACTGAAAAGATGAAAATTGACAAATTTCATCTTCTTTTCCTTAATTTTGTAATTTTACCCCTAAAAAGGACAATTCCTTTTCCAAAATTCTGAAATCTACTACTTTGACTCGTTAATTATGTAAAATTACCCCTAAAAACTATGTCTTCCTTCTCTTAATTTTTTAATATTTTTAAAATTGTATCTTTGTTTCACTAACTATGCAATTTTACCCCTAAAATTTGTGACTCCTATTGACTAATTTTTGCAAAATTTTATTTTAAATTTTTATCACGAATAAAATTAATACAATAATAATGTGTAAATTATTTATAAAATGACAATAAGAAAAAAATTTTGAAAAAAGTAGAAAAATATTGTAAAAGATAGGAGTATGGCTTCGCCATTTGACAGGCATGCCCAACTCAACCAGGGAAGTGAGAATTTATACTCAAGTCCACGACTACCGATTTCCAATGTGAGGATTACCTCACAACATTCGATAGTTGGTATAGAGTTGGGTGCCTGTACCCCTGGCTACTTTCCAACCCCTATAATTACAATAAAATTCTAGGATGTTTATTATTAATATGCCCAAAATTTAATACAACAAAATCGGAAGGGCGGACAATGCCCTTACCGACATACGGTTTATAAATTTTAGTAAGGGGTTGAGTAATAATTGAACCATCTTTAATAGATGGCCTAAGAAAATTTGGATATTTAATTAAAATTGGAATATTATCTGATTTTGTGAAATCAAAAACTTGTTTCTTAAAATTTTCATAACATAATCCCTGGTTGTTAATGACATCCCAGTTGAGAGTCATTCCTCGGACCTTGAGAACATAGTCCGGCTCAGCATCAGGAGTAGACTTCCTTTGGAGCTTCAGCCCATATTGTTTGGCACCCCCAGAGCAATATTCCAAAATATCAAAGTCTGGGTACTCGTCAGTAAACTGACCCAGATGGGGCCCTAATTCAAGTGGGCAATTGTTGTCTGGGTGGGAGAAGATTAATGAATCGGTGTCAGTGTAAAGTAACTGACACCGATTCATTAATCTTCTCCCACCCAGACAACAATTGCCCACTTGAATTAGGGCCCCATCTGGGTCAGTTTACTGACGAGTACCCAGACTTTGATATTTTGGAATATTGCTCTGGGGGTGCCAAACAATATGGGCTGAAGCTCCAAAGGAAGTCTACTCCTGATGCTGAGCCGGACTATGTTCTCAAGGTCCGAGGAATGACTCTCAACTGGGATGTCATTAACAACCAGGGATTATGTTATGAAAATTTTAAGAAACAAGTTTTTGATTTCACAAAATCAGATAATATTCCAATTTTAATTAAATATCCAAATTTTCTTAGGCCATCTATTAAAGATGGTTCAATTATTACTCAACCCCTTACTAAAATTTATAAACCGTATGTCGGTAAGGGCATTGTCCGCCCTTCCGATTTTGTTGTATTAAATTTTGGGCATATTAATAATAAACATCCTAGAATTTTATTGTAATTATAGGGGTTGGAAAGTAGCCAGGGGTACAGGCACCCAACTCTATACCAACTATCGAATGTTGTGAGGTAATCCTCACATTGGAAATCGGTAGTCGTGGACTTGATTATAAATTCTCACTTCCCTGGTTGAGTTGGGCATGCCTGTCAAATGGCGAAGCCATACTCCTATCTTTTACAATATTTTTCTACTTTTTTCAAAATTTTTTTCTTATTGTCATTTTATAAATAATTTACACATTATTATTGTATTAATTTTATTCGTGATAAAAATTTAAAATAAAATTTTGCAAAAATTAGTCAATAGGAGTCACAAATTTTAGGGGTAAAATTGCATAGTTAGTGAAACAAAGATACAATTTTAAAAATATTAAAAAATTAAGAGAAGGAAGACATAGTTTTTAGGGGTAATTTTACATAATTAACGAGTCAAAGTAGTAGATTTCAGAATTTTGGAAAAGGAATTGTCCTTTTTAGGGGTAAAATTACAAAATTAAGGAAAAGAAGATGAAATTTGTCAATTTTCATCTTTTCAGTGCATGCACGCGTGTATATGGATGTGCGTGTGTTTTATGTGCGCGCATGTTTCTAGGGTGCGCGTGTATTTACCATTCATCTTGACTAAGGTCTCCCCTATAAATTTCCATCTCATCTTCAAATTCCTTGTCCATAAAAATTTCAGGACTATCTGGAGGAGAAAATTTTGCCTTCTCTGAAAATTCCGAAGACAAACTTGGAAGTTTCTCTATCTCATCATCAACAAATTCTAGTAGTTCAATAGGGTAAAAACGATCCTTAGCCCAAGGTCGATGCTCGATTACGCAATTTAGGTACGGGTTCTTAAGTTGTATACGATGTCTAGTGTAGAAATGTTGTGCTATACTAATATTATAGGGACGTCTTAGGCGTCCATTAATGCATAGAATAAACAATAGTTGTCGGAATTATGAATTTTGATGAGATTCTTGTCGCTGATCCGACGAGTAGGTTTGCCACCACTACCATTAATAGAACGTGTTGTAGGTAAATTCTTCTTATCTACGGTAGTAACGGAGACGGTGAAGGGTTCGCCCCAGAGCATTCCCTGATCCTGTTTCTTGGATTGGGCAACTTTAAGGAATTGATTAAGAATTGAATCCACCGTGTTGGGAGTAATTTCACGGATTGGGATCCAGATATCAGATTCCAGTAATTGACTGCTCACGGTACAGCCAAGCTGATCAGGGTCGATTTGATTATCCCGGCTGATTTCCAGAGTTTGGTCAATACATTTTTGGAAAAGTTCCCTTAGCAATCCCTCTGGTTGATCGGGTAGACCAGTTATTAAAAATTTAGTAGAAAGTTTGGTTATATTGAATTTTCGGGTAATTTTGGTTTCTTCCCCCAAAAGTTTTAAAAAATCACCTCCTCCTGATTGTAGATCAAGTAGACTGTTGATCATGAAATTTTTTGACTTCTTCAAAGGTGGAGGAGACATTTTCGAATAAAATCAAAAAATAAAGCTAAAAATAAGAAGTAATTCAAATGTAGTAAATATTCAAAATTTTTCAAGAATGAAGAAGGAAATCCAAAATCCTCTATTTTTAAGGATCCCCAAATGATTAATGTTTGTTAGAATAGGAATTTCTATCCATTTTCCTTTTATTTCCAGTCGTGAAAAAAAAAGAGTTAAGGAAATTTGCATAGAAAGGGAAAAAAGCAAAAGAAAGGATTTCGTAATGCTTAAACTTTATTTCCTGTCCTTTTATTTTCGACCTTAAGTCTCTTGGGATTTGTAAAGGGAGTCGAATGGTGTAATATTTAAAAGAATTTAATAGAAGGAATTTTATTAAAATTCCAAAAAGAAAGGGAATAAATCGTAAAATTTGCATAAAAAGAATTTTTATCCTTTTATTTCCAGCGGCTAAAGATAAATCTGTATAAAGTAAAAGAATTTTAGAGGGAAAATATTTTGAAATAAAAAAGGGAAATTTGAAAAAATTTTTAGGGTATAATTTTTAATTTTAGTGGTAATTTTTGGTAAAAGTTGTAAACGACGAGACGACGAGTAATTGATGTATATCTTTTAAATTTTTAATTTAATTGTTTATTTATTTTTTAAATATTTATTTTTCCATTTATTTATTTTTATTTTAACCTAAATTTATATTTTTTATTTACTTTTATTTTCCTACTACAGATTTTTTTTCTTTTATTAGTGGGATAGAGAGAGGAGATTAATAAAGAGAGGAGATTTAATAGAGAGATTAAATAGAGAGAGGAGATTTTTAACTTAATTTATACATACTACTTTATTTATTTTTTATTTCCATTAATTTCTATTAATTTATTCTCTTTCCCCGTTACAGTATTTTTTTATTCTTTTATTTACACCCTTATTTTTTAAAAGAAAATCTTTAAAATTTTATAAAAGAACAATGGGAATTATTGCGTAATTTTTCGGGAGAGGACGAAAAGAGAGAGTCCTTTTTCTCTTTTCTGCCCCCACGACTTTTTTCGGATACATTTGCATAATTTTGGAAAAGCTCAATAGGTTTTGGTTAGTGAGGAGGGTGCGGGAAGAAGAGGGAAGAAAAAGCTTCAACAGCTTTTGGTTGGAGGGGTGGGTGGGGGAAACCTTTTATTGGAGAGGGGTGGGGAAGTCTCAAAACCTTTTGGTTGGTGGGGAAGGGGCCGGGAGGGAAATGACTTCACACCTTTTAATTTTGATTGATTAACTAATATCATTTTTGACAGGCGACACGGGGGTGGGGTTAACTACTAATAATCTAAGAGAACTTTACTCACCTATTCTCAAAATTTCAGGATATTTAATCTCCAATTTGTTCAAATTCTCTATACTAATTAAATTTATAAGATTTCTCTTATATAAATCTAAATATTCTAAACGTTCCTCCTTTTTCATTCCATTTTTGCAAAAGAAAAGTTGGATATCTGGATATTTTCCAATTAAAAATTCGAGATAATTAAAAATAATTTTTTGAAGAACATCTTTGTGTTTATAATTCAAGTACTTGTCAAGAATATGTTCTGTAGTTTTAGCAAAATTTTTGTTGTCCTTTCCTTTTAGGATAATTGGAAGATCAGAGTGAACCTGATGATAATATTAATTTAAAGTTCATGTAAATTTTTGATAATTTTTGAAGGGTAGTACGGCTATGTACTAAACTTTAAATTTTTTCTAGATTTGGTAAGGGAAGAAAGTATCGTGGAGTTCCATACAAATTTTATTTAAAAAAATTTAAAAATATTAATTTTTTGGGTAAATTTAATTCAAGAGTTCAAAATCTAGAAATTTAAATTTTATAACTCAAAAATGTAAAAATAATAAAATAATATTTATTAAAATTTTGGGCTCATGTATAGTTCACAGCAAAGATGGGCCAGGTTTCGGATCGGGGTTCAGGTCGTAAACAAGTATGTATAATGAAAAATAAGCATCGTAAATTTAAAATTACTTACATTAATATCAAACTTTTTCAAATATTTAGACCATTCTTGATCATTTTTAGAATTTGATATGCTTTTTATATCAATATCTAAAATAAAATAAAGACCACAAAGCTTTTCTTCTAGATTCTTTATTTTTAATATTTCAACAAAATTTTTGACAATTTTGCTTTTATCAGAAGATTTAAAATCTCTGATCATTTCTTTTATTCTAGTTTCATAATATAAAGCGATTGAATTAATTATAATTAATTTTCCATAATCATCTGTTGTGGAAGTTAAATATTCTTTAATATACCGGTTTTCCTCTTTCTCTATATTTTAAAAATAAAAATTACTTATTGTTAAGAAAGTCCTTAGGATAGCCACTATATTTTTAGAAAATAAAAAGTTTTTAAGGTTGGTGTATGTATTATGGTACACTCTGTCCCAAAATTATGAGTTCACCCCTAAATTTCATTATAATATGGTTTACAGATTATAAAATCGAAATATTTTTTAATATACGTTTATTTAGCTTATTCTTAAACATATTGCAAGTTCTCAGACAATTTGCATTATTAAGGGGAAAATTACGTCAGAATTTCTTAAAAACCACTGTTCCAAAATTATGAGTTCACCTTATTATTTAGAGCTGTAACCCTCGGATTTCCGGACTTTGTTTTACATAGATATCCTGATTCAACTTACATAAACAACTCGATTAAAGTAAAACTTATTAACAGTTAAAATCAAGAAAAATAAATTGACGAGTTAGAAACTAATTTAGTTTGGAGAATTTTAATCAAGCTGATCACTGGTGATGCAGCAAAAACAAATATGAAAACTATACTCAACCAAGGCAAACTCTGACTTGATACATCCCTATTCGGGATTCATAAGCTCAAGGAGCTAGCTCATTAATTAAATGAATCCTATTGAGAGTGATCCTGCAGTAAGACGTTAATTGGACTATGTCTAGCTTTAATTAGTTTATGATAATAACTTTTAAATTTTAATTTCCCGACAAAAAACATTTTCTAAATTACCTTCAATCTTTGTGACATTCTCTGGGCAACCAATATATTTATGCGGCTTAAAATATTAAATTAATTTAATTATCTATTTAATTAATACCAAATTGTCATAAGTTGCTGGAATGAGCAAATCATACATTAGATTGCCAATTTCTTCTTTTTGTTTTATTTCTTAAAAGGATAAAATAATTATCGTAAATTCTCAAATAAAGCACTTCCGAATAGAAGCACACCCCACTAGAGGTTCATAAAAACCTCTAATTTAAGCCCACCACTGTATACCGCTGAAAAAGCACATGGTCATTTTTATTTTTAAATTTAGTTTGTATCAGGGTTGCCGCGGGTACAAAAAATCTTCGGGTACGGGTTTCGGGTATCGGGTTGGAGCGTTTTCATTTCGGGTCACGGGTTTCGGGTTGGCAAAAATATCGGGTACGGGTTTCGGGTTATAAAATTTTCATTTCGGGTCACGGGTTTCGGGTTGGCAAAAATATCGGGTACGGGTTTCGGGTTTGGCGAAAAATCCGGGTTATTTTCGGGTGTTTGGGTATTAGTGAACTAAATTGTATGGAGGACAAGCTATGTTGCATAATAGGATTTTGGGTGATATAGAGAGGCAAATTTGAAGAGATTAAAGAGACATTGGGATTTGGGGATAAAGAGGGTTATCTTGGTAAAATCACCTTGATAAAATCCCACTATATACTAATATCCTTCCGCTTTATCTCCATTAAAGCCTCCAATTTTCTCCAGTTTTCAGCGCCGCAGGCGAAAATTTTGAGAATTTTAATGATCCGTAAGCCAGATTTCTAGCTTTTTCACCGCCGGAGGCGAAAATTTTGAGAATTTTGTAAGGACTTAGGAGAAAAAATTCAATTGTCAGAACCGCAGGCAAAAAATTTTGGCACTCTTTCGTTATTCCTACCCCCTTTCTGCGGACTTTTTTTGCGGAGTTTAGTTGGTCATGAAGCCAGAACTCTTAATTTTATGTGCCGCAGGCGAAAATTTTGCAAAATTCATGACTAAATTAAAATTTTTAATGCTTTATCAAGCTTAAAATATTTTAAAAAAATAAATTTAAAAATCTAAAATGACAATCAAATTTTAAAAACATTTATTTTTGAAAAGAAGAATTTTTATGCCTCAATTCCAGACCTGGGCTCGAACCGACCTTTATTAAAATATAGAGCCAGTCGCCTTACCCATTCAGCCAACGATCAACATAATGTGAATATGGAAGAAATTATAAATATTCCTTTCCCTTTTCCTTTCTATAATTTTTTAAATTTATTTTAAAAAATCGGGTAAGGCTAAGTTTTCGGGTAGAAATTTCGGGTTTTAACCAATTTCGGGTCACGGGTTTCGGGTTGGAAAAAATATCGGGTACGGGTTTCGGGTTTCGGGTTGGAAAATTTTCAATTCGGGTAACGGGTTTCGGGTACAAAAAAAGGCAGGGTTTCGGGTTTCGGGTATCGGGTTTCGGGTTTCGGGCGGCAACCCTGGTTTGTATTATGTAGGTAGTGTTTCGATTTCCAAGAACCGATTCCGGTCCACTATAGATCAACTTTTAGTGGTTTATTTGAATTGTGGTTTTAGTAATAACGGTCTTTGGCATATCATTCTTATAATTTTCCAAAATTAATTACTGTATAAGCTTTATTAATTACCCTCTCTCAAATAATTGCCCCCGGTCTATTAATTACTCCCTCCAGCGAGTGATCGAAATAATAATTACCCCTCCTAACAACAGTTATAATTAGCCTGTTTAAAAAAAGCTCAAATAATTACCCCCGCTCTATTAATTACTCCCTCCAGCAAGAGGTTGAAACAATAATTACCCAGGGTAATTATTAGAGCATATACGGTAGATAGGAATATCTAAATATTTTTTCTAAATCTAAAATTATTTTACTTTTAAATCTGTCTTCAAATTCTGGATCATTAACAAGTATCTTGAATATTTTTTGATGATTTTTTTGGATCATAGCAATTTGGTCGCTTATAATTATCAATTCTTTGCTCTAAATTTTTACTTATTAATTTTATTTTATTTAAAAATTTGTATAAAACTTTAAATAATTTTTTTAAATTAATCAAAGAACAAAATCTTTTTTTAAAAGTTTCTCCAAATTTTTGAATTATTAATAAAATAAACCTCTTTATATGCTTTGGTTTGAAGCTCTTTAGCAGTATTTTCTGCCTTCACTGTATCATCACTAAATAAATTAGTCACCGTATAAAAATAATTTAATTCTGGATTTAGAAAATTTATACAAAATTCCATATCCTTGTCAACGAGGGAATCTGCAAGTCCCAAAATCCTTTTTTTCCTCGAATCCCAATCAGCCAAGTGCCTTTCAAATATCAATTGATCCTTTTTATTTTTTGTTTTCTTTAAATTGTCATAAAGTTCTTGTACAGAATATATTTGGACTAGCAGAGAAGCACTATAAAACATTTTTAACCCATCATCTTCATTTAAATCGTTCAATCCTTTGATGTAATAATCTGATAACCTGTCGAGTATTTCTGATTGATCCGTATCTAAAAATTTATTTGTAATTAAAAAATCTGAAAATTTGAGATATTAAGACAAGAAAATTAAATAAAATTGGTGTGCCCACAGTTGAGAATGCGCAATCAGAAGAACGTGCAGCACAACTGAATCAGTTATGCTTCGGTTTTGGCTCATTAGTGATGGTTCTAATCCATCTCCGATCTAATTAATTAAATTATTACAGCTTCACGGCTTAATAAATTGTCAGCAAGGGGAAATTTTTTGTTCAAAATTTGTTTATTAAAAGTTCTCGCCTATGCAGATATTAAATATATGAGATTGCAGGACGGAAAGTGAATTGTGTTATAATGCGTTTTAAATTTGAATGACATTTCTAATGCTCTGTAGAATTTAGTACTTACCAAAATTAACTAACGGAATTAATTCAGAATATTCTTTTGAATAATTAGGAGGATTAAGTAATGTGAATCCTTTATTTAATATTATAACTTCTATTCCAAATAAAAGTAGACGTAGACGTGTTTTTGCTCCGATAGTTTTTTGTAAAAATTTTAAAAATTGTCCATAAATTTGTTTATTTTCATTTTTGATTTTTGTTAGTAAGCTAATAAATTATAAATGTTTGTGAAATTAGCTACTTTTCGGGACTAGTCTTATTTATTTAAGTATTTTTAAGACTAGGTGTTTAGTTCCTCAAAATTTCTTTTTTGTGAATCTATGGCACTACTCCAAGAATAAAAAATAAATATGCTGACAAGGGAACCTTCCGAACTGTCAGTAAAAATTTTTAAATAAAAATTATACCATCGTGTAAAGCGTAGTCGATAACCTATTATGTTTCCGCCGTTTTTTGGCTCCGACCCCGATTTCGAAAAGTTAAGGGGTTCAAAGTTTATAGACTTTTGGAGCGTTTTCTTAAAAGCTACTAACTAAAAATAAGACACCCATAACAGGGGTGGCGCTCGTCTCGTATCTTGTGAAATCTCGTATTTTTTGAGAGATCTCGTATCTCGTTTTATCTCGTTCTCGTATTTTTTTGAGAATCTCATATCATGTGTCTCGTATTTTTTTGGCACTTGCGCCACCCCTGACCCATAAACAATGGGTAAATATTAAATTAGAAGTCTTTAAATTTAGCTACAAATATGATAATTGTCTAAAACAAACTTTGCATGACTGACGCTAAACAATAATCTAATTGTTGAAATATCCGAATCATTATAATTTTTAAATAATTGTTTGCATCTATCTTTATCCTGTTTAAATAAAAGATCCTTCCAGACCAAAATTAAACTCCGAATTGATTTAATATTTAATTTTTTCTTGCTTAAATCATCAACTTCAAAAGCATTTTTAATTAAACTATTTACAGTCAATTTAAATCCATTTTCTTTTATTCCTAATTTTTCGTAATATTTTTTAGCAGCTGCATAAATATCAGCATAAACAAAAATAAAATAAAGATGTAACTCATTTTTTAAACTTTTAATTTCTCCGAGACTATGGCTTAAAATGGTTTTGTAGAGATTGACGTAATCCTGTGTAGAAAGAACATCTGCAAATAAATTGGAAATATTAAAAAGATTTAATATTGTTTAAATGAGTGATTTTATTCATATCAAGGCTGTAAAACTTATTATAGATCCTGATGAAACTCAACTCCTTTCCCAGTATGAGAAAATCCTGAGCTCTCTAGAATTTTTGATTCATCGATATTTTACGAGTGAATAAACGTCGAGAACGACCGTTGCTGTGTTCACAATTGACAAAGTGAAATCAAATCTTTTTGTCTGAGTAGGATGAATGAGATAATAGTGCGATTTTTGGATTAATAAAATTTTCTGATCGGGGTTTCTGTTACCGAAGAATTCATTAAAAGCAGGAATAAAAGACATAACATTTTTGCAATCTAAATCTCGTAGGCTTACCAATCTTAAACAAAACAGGTTGATTCATTTCCAACTCTTCCAACATTAAATCTCCCAGAACCTTTCTCATTCTCAATTTAGTCAATCCAATTAAATCTTTATCAGTCATATTTTCAAGGCTAATTGTTAATTCAGATTTTGTTGGAATAATTGTGGAAACATTTGAGCTACAACCCTGAACTTGTTTGTCAGTCTAAAAAGTTTAATTTATTCTGACGAAACTTCAAAGGTTTTGAGGCCTACTCTATGTAGATTTTTGACTTTTAACAGGAATATTTTTAATAACCTCAAAAAGCTCAAAAGTCAAGAAGGTCTTAAGCTAAAGCTAAGGGCCTTCGAAATATTTAACTCTTAGTTTATGTTAAAAATATTTTAATTAAGAATTTTCTAAGTATCTACTTTTTAGGATAAAATTTACCAAATCAATTTCACAAAAGTAAATAAGCTGCTTAATTGCAGTTAGTAAATGCAATTCTGCTATTCTTATACTGTCTTCCTCAGATATGTTGAAATTATGCAAATGTTTTGCAGCTTGATCTGCTTCTCTCGTTTCATCAAAACTTTCCTAATAAATAAATAGAAATACTAGGTTAATTTTGATTAGCTTTTTTTAGATTTTTGAAGTTATTCTGATAATTTAAATTTTCAAAAATTTTAATTAAATTTCTAAATCCTTTCATATCAGAATATCTCTCTTACTAAGTTATATGAACATAACGTAAATGCTCGAATAATTACCCTGGGTAATTATTGTTTTGACCTCTCCCTGGAGGGTGTAATTATTCGAGAGGAGGTGCTAAATTTTGGGCATATCTCAATAAATCGAGGAGTGAATCAATTTATCTTTTCATATTATTTAATAAACTGTTTCAATAATTAAAATTGACAATGATTTTTTGAATATATTTAAGATTTGTGAAAAAAATGAGGGGGTAATTATTAAAAAGGGTAATTATTAAAAAGGGTAATTATTCGAGTATATACGGTAAATGAATTAATTTACTAAAAGATAAAATTTATACCAAATTATAATATAACAATTTGTTAACGGTATATTCTTTGTTTTCCATACCGTAACTATAAATACGATAATAGAAATCCGATTCTTCAATTAATTTCTCAGTTTCTTGTTTTTCTTTAGGATTATTTAATTTATCAACAATATCATTCATTTTTTCACTAATAAGAATATGAGTAATTCTCCAATAAAGTTTATTCCATTCGATGTCATTCATGTTGGAGTCAAAAAATAATTTGACATAATTATAATCCAATGAGCTATCCAGCACTAAAAGATAGTTAACAGTTAAAAAATCCATGCCTTGTTATTATATCATTTATTGAGAAGAAACTCATTATAAAATGAGCTAAGAACAGATCACAACCACACACCCTCTAATCCGCAAACGAGTTATACTTAACGCATTCATTTGGACCCATTCGGGCTAATGGTAGGTTAGGTTAGCATTCTAAAATAGGGTTGTCGGTTTCACCAGATTCATCGGTTAACCGAAACCGAACCGACAAACTAACAGAAAATCTTCGGTTTTTCGGTTCGGTTCGGTTTGCAACCGACAACCCTATTCTAAAACAATAAGTCTTTATTTTTCTTATTTTTAAACATATTTACAAAATATCTTTCTAAAACAACAAAATATAAAAAAATTTTGTTTAATTAATTTTATTCATTAATAGCAGGGCTTCGATCTCGAATTTTTAAAAATCCGCAATTTTGATCGAAAAAATCCGCATTTGATATGAAAAATCCGCAAAAAATTATAAACACAAAATTTGAAGTATAATCACTTTATGTTTTATATTTTTTTACTCCAACAATTGAATTATGCAATTTTTTATTACTAATGATAATCTTATAGAAATCCGAACAATTATCTGGACAATTACACTTGAATTTTTGTCGCCTAAGACGCCAAAAATTTTTATTTCTTCCTTTTTCAGCGCCGCAGGCAAAATTTTTTTGAATTTTGGAAGGCAAGAAGACAGATTTCTTCCATTTTTCAGCGCCGCAGGCGAAAATTTTGAGGATTTTTGAAGGTTTTCGCAGAAAATAATGGCATTTTATTATAAAAACTACAGAAAAATATAAAAGATCCTCATAATCTTCAAAAGACCACAAAAATCGCAAATCCTCATTTTTAAAAATAATCCTCATCGCCCTATCAAAAAACCACAAAATGAGGAAAAATCCGCAGAAATCGAAGCCCTGATTAATAGAAATAATTATTTTATTTATAAAATACCTGTGTTTGCTATTGGAATGTTAAAAAATAATAAAAAGTATAATAAAATAAATATTTTTTGCATTTACAGCTAAACAAATATTTTGAAATAATTAAATAAACATGTTGGATAAATATTAATTGGATGGGAATTGGAATTGAGAATTGAGCTTTCCCCTATAAAGGAGATGTTACCGATAAAGGATGAGCATTCCCTATTAATGATGGGCTGGCCGGCCGCAAGATCTCATCTGAAAGCTGGACAAGTAATCTGATTTATCATATTTCAATAGATCACGAATCCTGCTCACAAATCGTTTTCCAAGGAAAGTTTGCGGCGCTGATAAGATTAGACAATGGGCGACTTTTAGCTTTCTGAATGTTTTATAAATATCGTTTGTGGATTAATTCTATTCAATTTACACTATGAAGAAATTACTGGATTATTTTCTTCAGGATTTTGAATTGTAGTAAAATAGTGATTTTCTATTTGATTTTCATAGATTGCTTCATCACAGGAAGGAAAAAATAATTACAATTAATAAAGTAAAACAAAATTTTTCGAATAAAATTCACTTAACATTTTACCAAAAACTAAAATCCCGTTATGTCCCTTTCTTGCCCAACAAGTAATTCTTCTGAAAAAAATTATGCACCCAATCTTTTTAAGAATAGATTTTTAAGACAAATTAGATTCCAATAAATTTTTATTCAAAATTCTTATCATGTTAAGAATATATTTGAGAATAGTATCCCAAATCTATGTTATTTGATCATTTATAAAATATACCGTATTTACTCTATTAGAGCCCCATGGGGCTCTATTTTTCAACTATCC